GAATAATTGAAATAAAAACTATTTTATATATAAAATTTTTCACGATTCAAAAATTTGTCAAGAATTTAGTATTATGAGATGTAACAAAGTTGTATGTGGGAGCGTGGAAAGAACGGCAACTCTAGACAGAGAACGAGGAATGAATGTGTTGAAACACTTATTGTATGAATGTCATTTAATTTTCAGTGAATATGGAATGTTATTAGTTAAATCTTAAAATTTTCCATATCATGGAAACTTATAGTTGTAGGATTATATAAGGAAGTCAATGAAAAAAAAAAAAATTTTGTTTAAAAATCTTGTATCATTTGTGGCCCTTAGAATTTAATTTATATAGATAGTAAATGTAGCGCAGACTGGAGGAAAGGGTTAAATCATCGGAGGAATTTTATGTCATGATAAAAATTCCATAAATACATTTAACTATGCTTGAAAAGGATCAAAATATAAGCAGTGAAAATAGATGAATATACTTTAAAAAAGTCGAAGAAAGAGTTTTATATTATTCGTGTCTTGTATTGTCACTATTTTTCCTATAAATTTGAATTTTTATTTTTTTTATTTGTTTCTCCATCTTGTTTATCAATGATGAAAGATGAAAGTATCATAAACTATTAAAAATATATATATAATAAAATATGTATGATGCAAAATTTATTTAAATAGCCACTATTCCGAGGATCCCTCTGATAAAGTTGCCCTATGAGTTCAAGTATACTTAAAAACTTTACAAAAAGTACTTGTCGAATTATTTGATGTGTCAATATATCTGTTATATATATATCCATCCTGTGTGATGTAATAGGGCATGCTATTGTATCAGTTGGAGCTTAGTCGGGACCCCATCCCCGATAGCTGCCTTATTTTTCCTCAGATTAGGAAACTATTTCTTTGTTAAAGACTACATGTAGTTCTGGTAAATAAATTTAATAAATACTTACCGTAGAAGTTAATGACAAAGTGACAACTTCAGTACAGTACAGTATATGATCGAAAAACGGGATGACTTCAGCTTTTCGATCTTCAACTTCCTCCAATTTACATGATAATATTCTACTCCCACCTGCCTCTGGTGTTTGTCTCCCAACTGATCATGATTTGTTACATAAGCATGTTCTTAATTCTTAAACCGAGACATGCTACTGAAAATAAGTTGATGTTACAGGAATTTCTCTAATCTCATTTCAAGTCAGTATTCGCAATTTCTACGGCCATTACAATGACCCTGTTTGCAAATTATACAACTTTTCATTGCGTCGTATTTTGACTGATATGTTTCATGCCAATTCATGGCAATTGATAGGCCATTTTTGTCTACAGATTATTCCGTTTTGATCAATACAGAGGCTCATGTTGGGTGTGACTGGTCGACAGGGGATGCATACTCCTCGTAGGCACCTGATTCCACGTCGTTTGCTTTCATTTTCCAGGAGTCAGTGTTATCGCTCTGTTCATATTGTTGACAGGATTTACGAGATTGATCACTGTTCGCTTTCTTAACCTTTGTACATACATGAAGGCGATGACGTGTAACTTCATCCTTTATTCAATTGTCCGATATTTAAAGGTCTAGAAATTGACCGAAGGTAATGCAACGAGCAACTGACTACTTGACACTGGTATTAAAATTATTATTAAAATCAATTACTAATGAACTTTACTATGCATTTTTTAAAAAACGTCGTAATGACCAAATTGCCATTAATATTAAATTCAATGTATTTAAAAATGTAGGAGGGAATCGAGAATTAGCATACATAGTTCTTTATGGTCTAATTTTACTATATGCGCATACTCTGACCCCAGTTTGACCCTACTTGAATTCTAGTACATTTAACGGGGGAAAAATATTGTCAATGAATTCATGCCGACAGATGGAACGACAATGAAACAGCTATGGGTGGTCCCTGTTGCATAGTTTCTACTCTCCATTCATACATGTATATTGCAAGGAGACAGTTGTTCAACCACTATATGTCTTGCACGTACCACATGAGATCTAATGTAAGCCTAATGCAGGTAAAAGAAGGTCAAGAGGATAAATTTGGTTTACATAAAGTACCAGGAGCCCAGGAGGTGTACTTTAAACTAAATTGATATTCAAGGAGGTTCTCTGAATTTTAATTTAACATGAGGTAAAATAGCTAATTGATTTCAAATTTCAATGTTATTCAGGTCTCCTTTAAATGATTATACGCCCAATTCCTTATTCAAAATCGCATTTCCCAACTTAAATCCACAAGATTTTGTTTAATTAATATACTCAAACTGTATTTACATATACATATTGAATGTATACATTCAATGTGCATGTAAAAAATGACAATACAATTTAAACTGAATGATATTGATGAACTATTTGACAGTTGTATTTGTGTCAAGTAAGATGAATATACTATATGTACAGCCAGCATTTAAAACAGGCAGCAACACCCAAATGACTCATCATGCATGCTCAAACAAATCTGAATGAGAAGTGTATACATAATATAATGTGATAGACATTCTTCATACTCCACGAATCGAAGTTTTGTTAAGCAAGCCTCAGGTGTGTTTTTTTCACCCTTTTCAAAAACAAGGGGCCATTTACTGAGTATCCTACCAGTCTCTCTACCAGCTATCCTTTAAACAAGCTTGAATTACACGACACATGGTTGTCTATATTTACGTACATATTATAAATGAAATATAACGAACAGTGATCGATCTCAAAAAAGTCTACAAACAAAACAAATTCGTGAAAAGGGCACAAAACACGGACCTCTGGAAATTCCATAGGTTGGATCAGGTGCCTAGGAGGAGTAAGCACCCCTATCGATCGGTCATGCCCGGAGTGAATCCCATTTACTGATCAGATATTCAGAATAATCTGTAGTCAAATTAAGTATAAAAACAAAGCCCTAACAATTGGTATGAAATATGTCAGTCAAAATACAACCCAAATTATACGTTGTATTTGCTAAAAAGGTCATTATAAAGACCATAGAAATTACTAAGTGCTGACTTTAAGCGAGGTTGTAGAAATTCCTGTAACATGAACTTATTTGTCAGCAGCCTGCCTCGGTTTAAAAGTTGATCTTTCTCAGAGTATGCTTTTGAGTATCAAATACGTTTGAATTAAGCTGGATGAGCTGATTCACAGGAAGGCCTTGATATGCTTTCGATCAGCTGGTTCTGGTACATGTATTTTCAATCACACGAGAGATGTCAGTTACTTTTGGACCCCACAACCCCCAACCCTTCAATGCACATCCAAATTGCATAACACTAAAACTGTTGGACTTTCTTTGAAATCAATTTTGTAAAGGCCATCTATACATGTATAAATATGACGTACAGTCGATACATAATTTTTTATAGAATGACCATTCGAAATTCTGTGTATTTATTTTAGATCTTTCATACGTAATACAATGTAATATGTCTCACCTTTGTTTTTTTTTTTATTTTTTTTTTTAGAAAAATAAATTATCATAAAAAATCCAACGGTTTCTTAAGTATACGTACATGCTGCAGAGAAGAGGGGATAGTTCCCATGGTTTATCTTCATGTAGCATTTTTATGAACATGGATTTACTGTGTTGTAACAGAGGTTCAACATCACTGAATATTACTAAAATATTAATAATTTAATTCTTATGCTTGTATGCAGCGTATGTTTATAAAGAGTTATGGACATGCACTTATTCAGGGTAAAGGCCTGAGATATTCTTCAGTAATTATGTACACACATTGAAGAAGCCAATCTTTAACCTGACTCTGTGTTTTTCAAAATCTAAATAATCACAATGTAGTCTAAACTTATGATTCGTCGCAAACAGCTTATCATTTCCATCTTACTTGTTTCATTAAATACTTTGATTTATATAAGCTAGCCCTTTTTTAGATGTGAGATTTAAATTCTATCTTATCACATGTGGACTGGGATAATTCTGTTTACTCAAAAATCATCACTTTGAATGAACATGAAAGACTCAACAGGAACCGGATTAGATGGTCCTCTAAGAGTTTACTATAATTAGCTGTTGAAAACTTCAACGCTGCGGGCACCCACTTGCTGAATTCAATCCAGATAGTTACGATGGAGAACATGAATTCAACAAACAAGTGTCGGAATAGACTATAAATTAATGTGGTCTTGAAAAAAAGGTAAGAGAGATAGAAATATACGTAGATGAATATTTTAATGTTTTCAATTATTATTACGGACAATTTTGAATAACATGACACTGAATGATTAAATGCACTCTTCCTAGTCTACGGTTCTTGTAATATTAAGTACACTGCATTTTACATTGTGCCACAAAACTGCTCAAACATTCGACTTTAAAAAAAAAGCGCTTCAAGTTCTCTCTGTCCTCCGTATAAAATTGCTTTCCAAATTTGATATTCAGATTTCCCTTTGTTAATGCCAATAGTATACTGTTTCTTTGCTAATTTTATTTAAGACTTAAGAATAGACATTAAGAGCAAAAGTTTTATTCAAAGAAAGACTTTTTGTAAAACGTTTCTTTAATTCCTGCACTTTTTAAATAAACTCTTTTTTTTTTATAAGATAAAGCACATAATTCAGAATTCGAAGTTGATATATACTTATGTAGGCGGAAACAAATTTATTCATCAGACCTTTCTCCCAGGCCTTTATGCAGTTATGATCATTTTTAGAAGATTACCTACTATATTTAAGACACCTGTGATTACTTCACGGATCAGTCATACATACGAGGAAGTGATTTTTCACACTAGCTTTAGAATTGTAACAGTACGAGCGTTCACTCTGGTTGACTTATTTCAAATACCTTATTTACATAAAACGCTAATATTACATTTTAGGGGAAAAATAGTACTGAAAGAGGGATATTTATCTAAGGAGATGGAATAGGTTCGTGTCAGCAACCTCAATTTAGGTAATCATTTTTGAGATTTCTTTAGATATTCATTTTAAGTGGAACAATGAGTTGAATATTGTATATTTACTTTTAATTTATTTTTATTTTAGTCACTAGATTGTTCCTGTTCAAAGGTAAACTACTTAGACCACGATTAATTGAGCATCAAATGTATAATATTTGTGAACAAGTTAAAATGGCGCTTAAGTAAAATTAAAGAAAAACAGGATTTCCAGAAATAAATACAAGGTTAATTATGAGTACATTGTCAGCATCTAGTATGAAAGTTACACAAAAAGCATGATGAAGTATTCTTTTTTTAATTTTATGACCTATGTCAGGCAGCCTTACTTGTACATCTCTTTAAACAGTATATGAGTATATGGCTGACGAGACTCTCTTACAGTTCGAAGTTTCGTTGCGAGTTTTTACCAGGGCAGAACCATGAAAATGACTGTCATATCCCTTCTATATTGTTTGGGTCTATGTTATTATCAAACCGTTAATTTACAAATTGTCAGAATGCATCGTCTCTTTAAATCTGTCAGAATAATTCAGTCAGGTAGAAAAAATATGTAGAATTCACAGCGATACACTTCGACAATGAAAATAAACAAACCCTCTGTTCCTCTATGCTCCTTTATTCTAAATACCCATCTTTCGTCATTGTACCTGGTGTCAAATTAACACAGAGCCTTTGTATATTGTACGATTTTCTGTGACATGTGTGTATTAACGAGCCGATTTAGTCAGTACTTGTTTTCAATAGCTCCTTCCTATTCAATACATACAAAAATAGGATAACACTGGATCTTTTTGCCCCGCCTGAAGTGGGTACTAGAAGTTATTCAGGTGAACCTGTCATTCATTAGGTATTTAAAGTTACATAATAAAGGAAATAATACGAATTGACAAAACTGTTCGCAGTGTTATGACTTATCCTCCTTATGACCGTACAAATCTGTTTAAATTACTTATATTCATTTAAACTCTTTACAGACGAAGGGACTCTGTGTTTTGGGCGTTGTCCCAGCTTCAAATGGCGTCGCGATGTTGCTGAGGAGGTGTAGAAGGAACATCTTTCGCTATTCCGTTCCAATCGCCTTTTTGTTCCTATATGCATTCTTTCAGTTCAAATTCTCCAACAGTGAGCTGAGACATTCAGCATCTGAGGTGTCTGCAAGGGATGGAAGACGCTTATTTGGTGATCTTCATAATGATACTCTCGTAGATGTTTGGAATCTTTCAGCAAAAGATGAACGTCTGGTCTCAAAGATCAAACAGCTAATAGAAAAACCAGAGAAGGGCGATTATAACCTTACACATCCAGATGTTACTGATTTTTCCAGAGGACAGAGCATCCGAATAAATCAACTTCTGGACGGTAAGGTGAGTGCTGGACTAAAGTCTCTAGTTGGGGAATTGTATCGGGCTTAGACAGGACACGTCCTGTGAATGCTGAATCCTGACATTGGTATATTGCAAGGCAAAGTGATAATGGTACTCCAAAAACCTTTTTAAAAAGCCTATTTTTAGAAATGGCTATACTTTGCAATATAGGTTTTCCGATATATGAACCACTGAGAACCTTTATTAATCTATGTATTTACCATTAACAGTGACTCTTAATTCCTTTTTGACAGATAAAAACCAAATCGAAAGTAACTGTTTACAGCAGAGATTTTGTTGTAATGATGGGTCATCTTTGATCCAAACGTTTCTGTTGGGTAGAAAGTTAGTTTAAATCCAAACAAATATATCTGTGTATCTGTTTCATACCATATCCCATCATTGTACATTGTATATGATTTCTGGACACTTTTAAGGCGATGTGGCAATTAAAGGGTTAGAAATCTTTGGCTAAAGCAAGCTTACTTTGGGCTGATTTGCTTTAATTATCTAGTTTATAATCTTTTTTTTCATTCTTGATGTAAATTTGTTCAAAGAATGCTAGTCTTACATCAGGTTTCAAAGATAAAAATTTATTTTGGCGAAGATGGTAATATTAAACACCATTTCCTAGAATATTTTGGTTTTGCAAAGATCAGGCGGTTACTTGTCATGTTATTTTTATTTTGTAGAAGAGAGGATTCTACATTGAAATAGGTGCTTCGGATGGAGAGGATGGTTCTGTGTCCCTTTTCTTTGAGAGGTCGAGGGAATGGGATGGTCTTCTTATTGAACCCCATCCTGGACGTTACAGACAACTACGTCAAAAACACAGAAAAGCCTTAACATTAAGAGCATGCGTCAGGGTATGTGACCGAACATTAACTGCCATCAACAAATAATATCTCCTTATTTCGATTTTTTAAAACTCATTTTTGAAAATAATTTCAGAGTAATCGTTTTATGATTTGTTTTATGATTGGGATGCTCACTCCTCCATGGCACCTGATCCCACCTCTGATGTTTTAGAGGTCCGTGTTTGCTCTGCTGTAAAATTTGTATTGTTTAATTGACTTTTGAGCTTGAATTCTGTCCGTTATCTCCATATATTTCATTGACTCTGAACCTTACTTTCTAAGCTTCAAATTGAGACATAAACCGAAAGCTGGATACTTTTTCCAAATTTTTCTCCTCACCCTTGGGTCATTAAGAGATTAATTCCTTTTTGATTTTAGCCAACAATTGAAAGACAAAACTATTAATTACTGATTTTATAAACTCTGTAGTATACATGTTTACATTTACCTCTAAAATGTTTGCAATATTACATTTTAGAGTAATTCAAGTAAACATGAAAAGGAATTCGAAGACACCATTGAAGGACACGTGAAAATTCCATGTTTGTGGTTGGAATCCATATTGAATGCACTGGATAAAAATACAGTTGATCTGCTCAGTGTAGATGCCAGAGACCAGGAAATGGAACTTCTTAAAGCTATACCTTTATCTAAGTATGCCGTAAATGTGATCACGGTGGAATTTGTAGAAGGATCGGGTAGTGACCTCTCTGTGATGAGATATTTGCTGGATCATGGCTACCATGCTAATCATCAGTTTGTCAATCATCCCTTACATAGAAATGACATGGTGTTTACCAGAAAAAAATCAAGCTAGAAAAAAAAATCACGGTATGAATCATTTAGAAGAACGAACATCTGAATAAAAGGAAAGTTTAAATGGACACGTGAATGTCTCATACTTAGTTAACTGCTTTGCCAAGCTATGAGTTTTATCATATGCTTGGTTTTGTATTTAGATATTTTATGAATTTTAGACCATACAATACGATAATTTCATATATAATATTTCACATAATTTATCTTTTATATGTATATCATATGTGTAGAACATGTCTATGAGCTTAAGTTTGGATAATGTAAAATTGCATTTTCAATATAATCAGGAAAAAAAAACCGCAAAGAAAAAATATAACTTCTAAATACATGTATTTTTGTAGTAAACTTTTAAACATTGTTGTATTCCAGCTTACTACATGTACTTGAAAATATTTAAAAAAAAAAAATAGAATCTAAAATTTGCTTTACCTCTGCAAATGAAAGTATACACTAACAAGTATTATAAAGAATCTGCCAGGTATTATGTTTAAAAAGAATTGAACAAAGCATATAAAGTCACTGAGAGCCATGGGAAACATTTAAAAGAAACATGGAAAATTATTTTCATGAAAAGAATGAAGAATTTTCTTTTTACAACACTTCGGCAATCATTTAGACTCGCAAATTAAATTTCCATATGTACTTTTTTTTTCTTCAAATTTTGTATTTTTTGCAATATGAGATGTATTTGAAATACTATTGAAATATGCTAGTATGAAAGAAAAAGTCATATTGATAAGTACATGTATATAAAGGTTTCATAACCAGTGCGAAATAGTTACCAGTTTTTCTCAGCTCGAGTTCATTATTTTTTTTTTTTTTTTTTGATTTTCAAGAGACACGAGGCTTGCTGACTGTTTCTTGAAAATTACAAAAAAAAAAAATAAGGAACTCGAGTTCGAGAAAAACCGGCTATTAACGAGCACTAGTTATTGGACCTGGGCTCGAGACCATAAACTGAGAACATACTTAAGTCAAAATTTTGATTTTGAATATCTTGAGTTTTATTCAACATGCAGACTTAAAAATTTGCAGGTTTGTATAATATTCCATTGTACACATATGATGAAAATTTTGTTACATTATCAAAATTATTTCAAAAGTTATATTGATTTGAAATTTTGACTCAAGTCTGTTCTCAGTTTATGGTCTTGGGGCCTGTTACTCCCATTATATAAACATAAACTTGCTTTGGTGAAATAAACATTGCCTAATCCTGTTTGTCTGAGATTACGTCCTTGTCAATATACCTTGATGATCTGTTGAATGAAAGATACAAGTCAAAAGTTCAAAGAATAAAAAAAAAACATGATGGTAGATATTAACAATTATACACTGTACCTGCAATTTGTGCCATCATAGGCATGTACGAGGAGATGAAGACCCCGAAAAAGCGGTCAATTGGAATCACCTTAGGTTTACTAGGTGTTTTTTAACATGCTAGAGAACCGAAAAAAGAACCACTGCACGGGAGGAATGAAACATATGGCGGTAATGGGAGAACCTACACTTAATCTTTCATATTAAAATCTTTATACCAAGGTTTCTCTATTTCTGTATCGTTTATTTGAAAAAGTTTAATATCCGTTGTGAAATATGATCATAATCATCTCTTGCCAGTCTTGGTAAGGGATTTGATAAATTATCAGGAAGTAGATTTTCATAACATATTTTAAGAATGACTTTTAAAAACGGAGAGGTTGTACAAAATTAATATCACCTACCTAAAACCTTTAAATATTGATATATTCATCGTCCTTAAAGATTAAAAAATGCTAAATTTTATGTTCAATCACTTTCTTACTTCCAACTTGAATTTAGTTTCTTGTGAAATAGATGAAGATAACGAACGGTGATCGATCTAAAAAAAAACTACAAATAATATAAATTTGTGAACAAAGCACAAAGCCCCTTAGAAATTATGAAGCCTAAAAGAAAATCGAAAGCGTGATGTAATTTTTAAGAAAATGACTTAAGACATGTGCATGTTTTATGCATATAATTTTATGGGTTGGAACAAATACTCGTCTGGTAGTCCATATTTTGGTTCCTTAATAGGTTGGATACAACATGTGTGTGTGTGTGTGTGTGTGTGTGAGGGTGTGTGTGTGTGTGTGTGTGTGTGTGTGTGTGTGTGGTAGTATCAGATACACGGCTTCCTACTAGCTTGGGCTAGTGGGTTAACCCTTTAGTTCAATCGGTAGAGCACTGGACTGGAACCCAAAGGCCCCGGGTTCAATCCCCAGCAGAGGCACATAAATGTCTCTGTTACATTTGGCGCCCACGTTGGGACCCGGGTGTTCTCTGGCGAGTGAAAGTGATTAATTGCCCCCAGAACTTCGCCCCACGGGCATCGGCAAAAGAGATGAGGACATCTCATTCTCTGGAGGGGGACAATGTGGTAGTGTCAGATACACGGCTTCCTACCAGATTGGGCTAGTGGGTTAAGCCTTTAACTCAATAAGTAGAGCACTGGACTGGCAAGTCAGAGGCCCCGCGTTTAATCCCCAGAAGAGGCACATAAATGTCTCTGTTACATGTGCGTGTAAAAATATGTCTACTTTCAATATATGTATTTCATTAAAATATATTTTTGCGTATACGTTGGAAAATAGTTATTCGTATTTTACTTACAAATTCTTGAACCGATCTGGGAATGTGTTATTTTTTGTGATTCTCTCATGACAAAGAAACTAAAGACTAAAAAAGGTTGATATATTGATTCTGTCACATACAGAAACATTCTATTTGTGTAGAATTTATGATTAATATTCGTGTATCAAAGGCTTTGAAAATCCCAAAGAATTGATTTCTTTACTTCATTCTGACCAGATTTCGATTTTTTTTACAAAGCATACTCGATATTAGAGATGATTCTTGAACTTTGATGATATTTTCCTAATAAAATAAAAATTATTTAAAAATCCATCAGCACTTTCTAAAGTTTTTCATGGGGAAACAATTCTTTATATATTATGTATCTTTAGTAGGATATTTTAATTAGAAGTAAGAAGAAGGTTTAGGCACGTCTTCATTTCTTCAAATCAATACAAGACAACAGACGAAACGAAAGCGACCGATATAACATCAGATGGAATCAGTAAAATGTTCTTGAAGAAATCAACTTTAACATTCTTTATTCTGAACTGGTTTATTTTAAGTTCTGGATTCGGAATTTCATCATATTTCAGATTTCGTGACGATTTAAATGATGTAAAATTCCAACATGCTTTCTTGCTGCAAACTCCAATACAAACGGTATCAGAATGTGCGAATTTATGTTTAAGTTTGGTGAGATGTGCATCGTTCCAGATTCACGAACAACTTATGCTCTGTCGTTTCTACTGGACACACTTCTTACTTGATGTCATTGGTATTCCCTCTACTGGCTGGAAGACATTCTCAGAAACTGGCAAGCATTTTATTTTTTCCTTCTTTATATCTCTTTATATATATATATATATATATATATATATATATATATATATATATATATATATATATATATATATATATATATATATATATATATATATATATATATTGGCTGAAAATATATTAGTGCAGTTTACGGATTGCTTGATTGTTGTTTAACGTACCAGTAGAAAATAATTTACAAAGGTACTTCACCTGCTTAAGATGAAGTGCCAGAATAATTTATCTGTACACGGCGCTTCTGATTGCTACAGTTATGGTTCTTTATCTTGCAAATCCCAACTGTCACAAGGATCTTCTTTTTTGAGGTCATCCGGAAACCCCACCAATGATTTTCACTTCTTTTGCCAGGCGCTAGGCGAAGGAAGATTCACTATCTAGTAAAACGTTTAAGGTTTGACGCGAAACAAAAATCGAACCCAAAATTTCTGTTCTTGAAGCGAATCCAACCACTATAGGCTACCACGAATGCTTTATAAAAAATAAATCGGAGAGCCCTGTAGAATCCTGAAATTGCAATAAAATAACTTCGTTTATAAGGCATCTCATGGGACTGTTAAAATTCCTACGTTATTATTGAAGTACGTTGTAATCGAAGACTGGGAGTCCAATTATATTGTCTATTCATTGTTCTCACATTACGCACGTTTTGTTTGTTGAATGTGGTAGGAAAACCTGATCAAAACATAATATATGACTTAAATTTTACCGTTATCAAAGAAAACACAGTTTTGACAATTTTAACATTAATCAATTTAAAAAAGAAAAATTAATTGTAACTTGCTTAGAAAAAAAAAATTTTTGCGAGGGATATGATGTCAGAATACCAAATTGTTCCAAGTTAATTCAAAGAAGAAGGTGCGGTTTCAACAGAAATCTGGCCCGTTTTTTTTTAAATATGAAAATGTTGTGAGAAATAAAAGCTAATACTTTCTGACTTGTTCAATCTCAATGCAATAAGATCATACAAATTGATTTTCTCACATGACCTCCTAAATGCCAACTGTGACATCCTGAACTTGTGTATTTTCCCGTATTTTATTAAAAAGTTGCAGAAGACCTCAAATATTCATGGAATTTCCTTTCAGACAATATAGGCCACATGCATCGCCCACAATTTTACACACATCCGAAAATTGAAGTAGGCGACGGCTGAGGACACTATTTTTCTTAAGGAAAATAACCCCGCAAATGGGTCATTTTGAACCTTTTGCAGTTTAAAACTTAGAAATGTAACAAATTAATGTCGTCATAGTTACAAAGAAGTCTTCTATTATGCTAAATTCTTCATAAAGTATCACATTCATATATTCAACCTATTTCAAGGCCGTAACTAGGCCCAAATTTTTAGTGAGGCAAGGGATCACAGGGCCAGTCAAATCCCAAGCGGGTCCAAGGTAGGGTCCTGATGAGGGTTCTCGGGGGGGGGGGGGTCCTGAAACCTGGAACTTAGCAAATTAAAGACTCAATCTTTGAAAGTTTTCATGTTTTGAATTATTTTTACATGCGTTCTTAATTATAATGAAGCACCTGGTGAGATGATGGATTTACAGTTTAGTTGAAAGTATTTATTTAGTACAAAGAAAAACATAATTAATTAAAGTTCAAAGTAAAACTTTTTCACTTTTCAGAAAACCCTAAAATTTTAGTGAGGCATTTGCCTAGTAATTTTGAGAAACTTACTGGACAATGTTTTTGAGGTAACAATGTTGTTAAGCGTGCTTCGTGGTGACAAAACATGTTGATTCAAAATTGAGTAATATGACTTCCAGTTACATGTAATCAATTAAAAGAAACTTCTCAAAATAAATGTTTTTACATATCTTAAATCATGTAAAATAATATGAAGAACATTGTCTACGTAATTTTTGAATGAACCTCGTATATGTGTACTTCAATTAATATTGTACTTGTTGTGCAACCAATGAATTCATATTGATCATCATTTCTTTCTATAAAAGATTACCGCTCAATTCACACAATTTTTTTTCCTTTTAGTTTAAAGCGAAAATTTTTCTAATAAATTTAAATTAACAGGTCCTTGTCAGCTAGGATATTTCTACACCAGACATTTCCATTACTGTTTCCGATATGCTGGAAGTAATTTCCGAAAATCAACTTCCGTCCAGATCTGTAATGAAAGAAATGACACGCTTATAAAAGTGGACTCAACAGAAGAAAACCTGTTTGTGAGCAGTCTAGCTTGTGAGTAAAATACTCTTCTTAAGAATGATGGAATCTCTCAGTGTTGCTTATAAATATCGTTTCACAATTAAAATAATAATAATAATAATAATAATAATAATAATAAAATGAAGATAATTTTGCCGTTTTGAAAACTTTGCGATCTGTTCAGCGAAATCTTCTATTTTTGGTGTGAAAATAGGAAAACATTCTATACATAGTTTTTACCCTACTTTTGAAATTTTGTAAAATCAACATCCAAAACTATCTAAATTTTAAAGGTCTCTCTGAGCTTCTGCTAGTGCTTTACTGATTATGTTGTGTCAGAATTTTCACAAAATTACTTACCCTTACAATGTATTCTCTCACATATATTGATCTTGCACGCAATATCTCATTTAACTTATAGCAAATAGACAGGCTTTTTATCGTTTTGTTTTTCAAGAAAACTTTAGAAATTATTTGAAAGAAAAGAGAATTTTAAGAAAATCTATTCAACCATTTTTAAAAAATGATTATTTAGATTCTTTCGTCAACAATAGCCTGGGATCAAAAAGCTTTGAGCTGATACTAGATGGTGAAAAGATGACATCCGGACAATGGACCTCTTTATTTGGGAATCAGGAGGCATTGGTTTTCACGAACTTTTATGCCGGTGATGTAGCGACAGTAGGAGAAAGAATAGTCATTATGCCAAACAGTAATGGCGAACTTCAAGAATACGAGTGGAAGTCTGTTTCTTTAAATTCAAATTATCGAACAGTTTTTTGTCGATACTATCCTTAAATTAATCTATTTTTATTTATATTGTAATGGCCATGGGGTAGAATTTAATTAATTAGTTTATTTTTTATATCATTTATAAGTGTTAATATTTATTGGATTTATTATCGGGGTGGACTTTACTATGCATAAATTACACTGCTACACGTAATTCCTTTGAATACTTACTGGACGCGGTATTGTCTATTTATACCACATTCGACCTATTTGTTGCTTGCATTTATACAGGAAACCCTACATTCTATGAATTGAAGTACATACCTTTAAATTGTTTCTATGTTACTGTATTTTGCTTAATTATATTTGAATCAAGTAAGTGCTAACATTGCCATAATTGCACACGAATGCTGGAGTCATGGTAGTTTGAACTAGTTGTATTTTTATGCAATGTGATGTTATAATTGATAGTGAATATCCTCAATTTAATGTTTGAACATGTTTTACTTAGATTTATCGAGGGTTTTACATTAAACTGGATAAATTGGTAGTTACACATTTTTATTATGCCAGGGCTATTTGATTGATTGATTGTATGTTGTTTAACGTCCCATTCGAGAATTTTTCACTCATATAGAGACGTCACCGCATGTCGGTTAAGGGCTTCAAATTTAGACCTATACTCGGCCCTTAGGGCCATTGAACAGTGAAGGTTCTTTATCATGCCAACGCCCACCGTGACACGGGACTTCGGTTTTTAAGGTCTCATCCGAAAGACCCGTGACTTTCACTTCTATTGCCGGGCGAGTCACTACCTATGATTAGGTTTGACGCGGCGCGGCGAACGAGAATCGAACCCGGGCCTCCCGATCACGAAGAGAGCGCCCTACCACTAGGGTACCGTGACCGGTGGGCTATTGGAATATCGTGTGCTGTACGATTGCTGTTTTCTATCATAAAATACATGTTTTAATTCACGTGAAATGCTTTCTTACAGTTAATGAAAAAATCCTCCAGATCCGCATCATATTATTTATTATTTTAATTGTAGATGTTAATTCCGTTGTGTAGCTATAATCCACATTGTACGACAGCCTTGTTTGACGTTGTTTGACACTGTTTGACAGATCTCTGTTTTTACGACGCCTGGCAATGCTGTGCTTGGTCGATCTTCACCATACAGCTTTTTCAGTCTTTTTGTGTCACATGACAACTTCAGAAACTTATAAATAAGTTGCAGCAGCAGTATCCAAGTACTTAATTCTAGGTGAGGAAAAAGCTGCCAATTATCTCCCAACATATTAGACACCTGATATTAGATTTTTGAGCTTTAAATTCCAAATCAACTTTTCTACCTTTTTCTACCTTGAAAATACGGTTGACGCCACCGACCAAAACAAATATCACTTAATATCTATATATATATATCCAATATAGATGTTTGCTCACCATACTGTCATTTTCTGTTGAAAGATCAATAAACCAATACTTGAACTGATACCAAGCCTTGTCCTTACTGAGAAACATGAAACAAGAATTAAAGAGTGACCTTGAAAAATGCAGTATGAGTACATTGTATAGACCCCATTCCAGGATGGCCATCCGTGGGGAGCTTACAATATCTTTTACGCAGAATACATAGAGGATGTTCAATGTTTTGTAGTTGGATATGGAATTTATTTCACGAGTGGGACAGGATTGTTTTAAAATTTCACAATTGCGAAGCATAAGTGAAAATACAAAAAAAAAAAATCCGTCTCACGAGTGAAAATATTCCATTTCAAACTTAAAAACATTGAATTTTCTGTCTATTACTTGTTCTTTGATTTTCCTTTGCCTCTGTCTTTTCGAAACACGGTGACATAGGCTGTGACATCATAGTTGAGCGGTTGGGACGCTATAGCTTAGAGATTATGAGATTGAAAGTATTTTAAACATGGATTTCAAAATTTTTGGAGGAACTTTGATACAGTGACAAATATCACTTTCATTCAATAAATTACAGGATTTCAATGTTAAAAATGTAATAAATATTGCATATTCTTGTAGGATTAAATAACAGGATAGCAACAGGTTAAAACAACACAAATACATATCCCTATCAAAAGCGCAACACAAATTTGAGAAATCCATCAGAAGCACTATTTACACAGGATAACAGATAGCATGAATGTCAATCGCAAAGGAGCCAAGCTGCAACGAAATTCTACTTAAACATTTAATAGATGTAAAATTCGCTTTGAACAAGGATTGAATAGAAAGAAATGTTTGCCATCCTAAATAAAATACAATCTAAATAAGAAATTTCTTTTAAAGATTACAACAGGAAGCGTGATGTTTCATCAGATATTAGTTTACCTATTTATCTATTTATATAGTACTATTCCGCTATCACCTGCATATGGTGTTTAAGTCTCCCAACTTATTCGATACCCAGAGCATGCTCCGAGTACGATCAATCTTTAAACCAAGACATGCTACTGACAGCTAAATTGATGTTACAGGGATTACAACCTCGTTTAAAATCAATATTTCGTAAATTCTATGTAATTATAATGACCTTGTTAACAAATATAATCTATCATTAGGTCGTACTTTTATATTTTTCATACCAATTGTGAGGATTTTGTTTTATACTAATTTTGACTACGGAATATTTCGTCTTCCAGAACAATACATAAGACTCACGACAGGTGTGACCGGTCGACAGGAGGTGCTTACTCCTCCTATGCACCTGAACACCTCTGTAATTTCCGGGTGTCCGTGTTTCATGCCTTGTTCACAGATTTGTTTTTGTTTTTGTTTTTTTTTTGAGATCGATCACTGTTCGTTATCTTCACCTCTTTAATTAATCCAGATTTAAGTCTTATAACGAAAGCAATGGCACGAACAAGTTAAACCAAAATTATTCTTATTTAGCATTGCACTATTTTTCAAGTCATCATTTTCCATTTTGAAATAAAGCTGTATTTTCTCTTCAGAAATAAGAAAATGAATTTTTGCCTTTTTTCCTTAAAAATGTAGCCATGTATTTACTGAGTAATCTTTTGAAACGCGTTGTAGTGTACTCAGATAAAATAGTAATTTTCATTTTCATGGCTTTGAAAACAATGTAGTTCAGAGAATAATATTCTGTTACTCTCGTGGAAGGGAATTTATTTATTGGATGCAGCCAATTAAAAACGTATTGCCCTAATTGAGATGCATTCTTCAAACAATTTCTTAAAATTGTATGTCTTTAAATTGGAATTTATGAGATGAGATTGTAAATATTAACTATATTTAAATAAATGAAAAACGTGAAGATAACAGTGATCGATCTTAAAAAGAAACTACAAACAATACAAATCTGTGAACAGGGTATAAAACACGGACCCCCGGAAATTACAGAAGTGGGATCATATGTGCCTAAGAGGAGCACGTTTCTCCTGTCGACCGGTCACACCCGCCATGAGCCTCATGTATTGATCATTTAGACGGAATATTCCTAGTCAAATTAAGGATAAAAACAAAGATCTTACAATGAGTAAGTGAATGTAATGAGTTGTTTTGAAACACATCAGCCAAAATACGACCTACTTATAGGTTATATTTGCTAACGATGTCATTATAACGGCCAAGGTATTTACGAAATGCTGACTTTAAACGTAAACAAGGTTGTTAAAATCACTGTAACATCAACTTTTCTGTCAGAAGCCTGCCTAGGTTTAAAAATTGATTGTACCCCGAACATGCTCTTGAGTATGTAATATGTTCGGAAAAAAAAACTATTTGAAGGTGACAGTGGAATATTACTACATGAATAAGGAAAGTTGACGGAAAAGCTGAAGTCATTCAATTCGTTTGTCATTCAATTTAGTTGTAAGTTGGCCCTTATCATCTATAGTCGGTAAAACACCCCAATATGAAACAGAAATGAGTCAAATGACAGATTCTGTGGTGTCTATTAATTCAAGTTCACCGGGATATATCTAGTCGGCATATGAATAGAAGTAGTCGCCCGCGTAGAGCGGTGGTTAGAACATTTGCTCTAGAATCGCGGTGTAAGGAGTTGATCCTTACGTCGCAGGTTCGAATCCCACTGCGGTATGTGGAGACCAGATAAACCAAGGCAAGTGTCGCAGTAGGTGCCAACACGAAAAAGATCCTTCACTGCTCAATGGCCCTGAGTACCGAGTATAAGCGAAATTTGCAGCCCTCCACCGGCAAGTGTTGGCGTCTCCATATCAGTTAAAAACAAACAACATGAATGGACGTAACTATTGTTAATTGATAAAACGTCGTCAGTATAACTGAATGTCGAGTTGAATGCCACAACAAGTCTTTTCTATTCACGTAGAAGTTTTTAAATAAATTCTTCTTCATAGGAATATATAAACAAGTTATATAATAAAAGATAATAAAGGAACACAATTGAAAAACACATTTCTGATCTTAATGACTGGGTTTGATGTTTAAAATGAGGTATTACTCTTTCGCAAATTAAAATTAAAATAATGTAAATTTAAATCTTCAGATTTCATACGTTGAATTGTCTACGGATTTTCCAGTATTTACCGTTTGCCCGATCATGACAAGGGGTACACGGCGTGTGTAACCGGTCGACAGGGGATGCTTACTCCTCAAGGGCACCTGATTCCACCTATGATGTTTGCTTTGCTCCTAATTTTGTATTGTTTCAATGGTTTTGATTACTGTTGAATTTATAATATTATGATTTTTAAATACGATCATACGGATATGATTGTAAATGCCCCCTTAGTGCCCTTGATTGGGTGAATAATTATAAACAGAATAGAAGTTTTTCAGTATCTCTCTCGATTTAATTTGACTTGATAATAAGCAAGATATGATGATGTAAGAATCGTTCGATAGAGTGAAAGATAAAAAGGTAGGAAATTATATCTAAAATGTTTTCCTTCATTAAGTACAAACGTAATTTACCTTAT